CTCAAATGCCTCAATATTGAATCTATAAATGTTATCACATTTCAATGTTTCTGCAATGACTTTCCCTGGAAATGGCCTAATGACATTAACATTATTGTTATCATCACTATTATTATTATTATTGTCTATGCTTTATATTGCCATCAACAAAATATACCTTTTAAATCTTGTTTCCTAAGAAAAAAATAAAACAGCACAAACAGTAAATATTGTAATATTCATTCCCTGAATTAAAGCCATCTCAATTCCCAGTCAATATCTGTGGAAGAGCTTTGTAAATATCAACCGAATTTCCATGATATATCGTCTTTAAAAACAAACATGTGACTGAAAGACATTTCGTTGTAGAAATATATATATTTTTTTTAATTATCTCGGCATTACACCAAATTTATTTATTTATCTTTATTTCCTCTATAAATCCTGTAACATCTGTTTCATGTGTATTGATTCCTCTGGATTGTGTTTTGATGATACTACTTTTAGACTATTGCTTAATGCTGTGCTTTAGTGGCTGTACTTTTTGTTTAGTGATTGCCCCCCTCCCCCCTGCCACCCACCCTTCCCACACAATTTAAAATGTAAAAAACAACCACAATTTTTAAAAATGTATATAGCTCTGAGCAGTGTTTGTGTGTTTGAATGTTAGCATGTTTTTGTATGGAGTATGAAATGCAGGGGTATATTTGTGTGTTGCGTTGGCGAGATTCTGAGATGTATGCACATATACACACTGACACACATGCAGATACATATATACTCATGCAGATACATAGACACACACTGACACACATGCAGACACAGTGGCGACTCTAGGAACAATATATGAGGGGGGGGCACATAAGATACCACAGTCAAAACTAGGGGGGGGGACTAAAACTTTTTACTAGGGGATGGTGTAATGTGCTGCCACATTGAAGCTGTGCATGCTGGCATCTGGCAACAAATTTGCATAGAATTCACATTAGCCACCCAAATTTCTTGTTGTGGGCTAGCTGACACCTCTGAACTTCAATCTTTGTTTATAAGATAACTCCCCTATTTGCTATCCTTATGTGGCATAATAGAACATTTACTTCATACTCACCGATATTTTCTTTTCCCAGATGTATGGCATGGCAGCACTTCATATGGGTATAGCTCTGCCCCCTTACAAACTGGACAGGAACACCTCTTAATTAAAACAATAAAAGAGAGACGCCTCCTCCTATCCCTCAGTCTGAGTCCAAAGCCACAAACAAGAAACCCACCCAAAAAGGGTAGGACTGTAGTGCTGCCATGGCATACATGCGGGAAAAGAAAATATCGGTGCGTATAAAGTAAATTTTCTATTTTCCCAGATATATCCATGGCAGCACTACATATGGGTTATACCTAAGCTAAGGATGTAAGGGTGGGACAGAAAACAACCAACACTGAAATATGATGCCCAGAAACACTCATTTATTGAGTGAACATAATTACAATGCCGCTGATAGGGCTTCTACTGGACTCAGAAGTAGAAGATCTGGCAACATCCAACCAATAATGGTGAATGAAGCTGTTGAATGAAGACCAGGTTGCTGCTGAACAATTGCGGTAAGGAGGAATATTTGCTGCCGCTGCCCATGAGCTCTAGGTGCTCAAATGGAGTACCCGACAAAGCTTGCAATACCAGAGGCAAGTCAGAGGGAGGAGAGCAAGTTCTTACCGGAGGATGCAATTTCAGGACTGCCTGAAAATATCTACATATTTCTGGCTCAAAAAACAACTTTTGGTCCAGGAGTATGGAGAGAGCTGAGATTTGCACTTTAAGGGTGCTAAGACTAAGGCCTTTACCAAATCCTTCTTGAAGGAACTGAAGGATGTTGCTTATACCTGGAAGCTGAGGAGACATTTCATGAAAATGACACCAGCCGCAGAAAATACTCCAAATGCGGTAATATGCCAAGGATGTTGATTTTTTTTCTTGCTTTAAGCAAAGTATCGACAACCGATACTGAGAAGCCTTTCTTTAAGAATCGTTGCCTCTTAACTTCCATGCGATCAACTTCAAAGTCTCGGGTGCAGGATGAAAGACTGGACCTTTAAGGAGTAACTGGTGTTGAAATGACAGATCTAGAGGGAGATCCTGGGATAATTTCTGAAGCAGAGGGAACCATGATCGCCTGGGCCAATAAAGAATTATTGCTAGAGTGGTCACAGGTTCTTGTTAGATTATCTTCAACAGAGGAAAAATGAGAAGTGTTGGGGGAAACACATACCCGAGATGGAACTTCCACTCGCAGCATAGTGCATCCCTGTCTTCCGCCAAAGGGTCGAAGAAACACGAGAAGAACCTTCTCACCTTGCTGTTTTGAGATGTTGCCATCAAGTCTACCTGTGGAAGGCCCCATTTCTGGACTATGCACTTCAATGCTTGGGAAGAGAGAGCCCATTCCGATGGATCTGTTCTCTCACCCTGCTCAGGTAATCTACCAATAGGTTGTCCTTGCCAGGTAGATAAACTGCCTTGATGCCCTTCAGATTTGTTTCTGCCCAAGTCATAAGAGGGAGACTAATTGCCATTAGATCCCTGCTTTTCATCCCTCTTTGGTGGTTGAGATAGGCTGCTGCTGAGGTATTGTCTATTCTCACCTTTACCGATTGATGTCTCAGGGGGGGAACTGGAGAAGAGCTTGGAGAACAGCTCACAATTCCAGGATGTTCAAAGATGGATGTTTCAATCTGCTTTTCCATAAACCGTGGATGTGTTGGGAACCCATGTGTGCACCCCAACCTGACTGACAGGCATCTGTGGTTAACGTCATCCAAGGGACTGATCCCAGAGGAAATACTCGATAAATGGTTTGATCAGTCAACCACCATAACAGCTCTTTCTTGACTTTGTCTGAAATAAGACTAGGCTAATTTAGGTCCTTGTTCGAATATTGGTATAGGAACTCTATTTGAGGAATTCTCATGCGCCACTGTGCCCATCTCGTAAGCGCTATTGTCGATGAAAGACTCCAAGAGACTCATGACTTCTCTTGCTGGAACAGACTGCAGAGGAATCAGCTGGAGAATTTTAGACTGGAGTCTTAGACCTCTGTCCAAGGATAGGGATGCCCTTGCACTCGCTGTATCGAACCTTGCACCTAGGTATACCATTACCTGAGAGGGAGATTACTGACTTTTCTTGAAGTTGACTATCCTGCCGAACTTCTGGAGAAGGAAGAGAACTCGATCTCGATGGAGACTCAGTTGACATTTGTCATTGGAGAGGGCTAGAATATCGTTCAGGTAATGAAAAACGGCTATGCCTTCTAGACGAATATGAGAAATCAAGGAAATTAGAATCTTTGAGAAGGTTCTAAGAGCAGTGCTTAGGCCAAATGGAAGAGCCCGGAATTGGTAATGCTGCTGATTTACTGTAAATCTGAGGAATTTCAGGTGAGGAATGGTGATCGGTACATAAAAGTAGGCCTCCCGAAGATCTATGGAGATCATCCAATCCCCTGGAGAGACCACTTTGATGATGGAACTGATGGATTCCATTTTGAATTTTTTTGACAAACAATCCTTGTTGAGATCGTGAAGGTCTAAAATTGGCTTCCGTTCCCCAGTTGCTTTTGGAGTTAGAAAAGCCTTGAGTAATACCC